AAATGTGCTACCCTTAGATTAGTTGCCTTATTAGCTGACTGTTTACCACGTGGGTAAAGACATCAAGCAGCTCGGTATGGAAATGGCCTGACCAATATTTTATTCCATTCCATTGAGCAAGCACTTGCAGTTCTGGCCAGTGCCAGGTGCTGTCAAAGCATGAAAAAACAAAACAATCCCTGCCCTTAAGGAGCTTACATTCTGTCAAGGAAGGAAAACATGTGCACGACAAAGTAAATGGTAAATATCTACATACTGTATTTTTAGGGAGGACACCAACATATTAGGAAATAAGGAAAGGTTGTAGGAGGTGGCCCTTATGATGATGCAAAAGCTGAGTGGTTGGGGTTTTGTTCCGTTTTAAATTTTTATTTTGTTAACCCTACCTATGGGGAGCAGAGGGAGGAAATACAATGGCAGTAATCGTCACATTTCCATAACCCTCAAAGGGCTATTACCAACTGCAAATATTTGTTAAGTACTATGTACCAGACATTAGACTAAGCCTTGAAGATACAAAGGCAGAAGTAAAAGGCCCTGCCCTCAAAGAGCTTTCATTCCATCCAAGGAGACACCATGTTCAAGGATAGGTGACCCAAATGGGACCATAAAGAGTCAGACATGACTGAAAAATGGCTGAACAACAAATAGCCCAAATCAATACAAGGTAATTTGGGAAAGGACAGGACGAGGCACTAGCATCTCTGGGGATCCTCAGGCATCATACAGGAGGAGGTACTTGAGCTGACTTGAAGGAAACTAAAGATTCTTCATGTTTTACAAGGAATTTACACCCATTAATCTGTGAAGACAGTACTACTGGTGGTGTTATCCCCATTTTACAGATGAGGAAGCTGACTAGCTGTGGCTAAGGCCAAGAAGTAGATTAAGGATAGTCCAGTTGATTCTGTCCACCACACCTGGAAGCCTCCTTCTGCCGGAGGCAGATAACCTGCTTGAGGGTGATTGGATTTCATTGGGGTGGGGTAGAAAAGAGAAGAAAGGCCCAGGGGTGAAAATGGGCAGAAAGTACTTTCTCTGAACTTAATCTGGCTTTGTTTATCTACCCGAGTTGTGCCTGCAGGACTTTTTGAGCCCAAAGAGTGGCAGTGCTGGGCTTGGCATCTGAAAGACAGTTATTTTATGTGATGACTGATGACACGTGACTCCGCTAGCTCTACGTTTTAATCAGGATGTTAAACTCAGTCATGGCTGTGGTAGGATCAGCCAGCAGCCAGTTGACACCAGGCTCAACAATTCAGCAAAATCAAGACCCCTTAAGATCGTGGGCCAAACCATTTTATGGAAACCACCGTAAAAGACCCGTATTAAAGTAATAATGAGTTATTCTGTTTTTAAAGAGTGAGGCCCAGACCACTTAGGCAAGCTATTTTACAAGACCCAGGTATTAGGAAAAGTTAATAGTTAATCCTATCTTCCCCAGCAGAGGTTTACCCAAGGAAGGAAAGACCTCTCACTTCCCAGAAATCTTTAAAAACAATGGCTCCTCTAGCAAAAAATGTAAATGCAGTAACCCCTCCCCTTTAAAGAATTCCAAATATTTCCTCATTCCTACTCTTTCAAAGATGACTTTGGCACTCTAAAGGAGAATTGGTTTAGCTGAGCCAGACTGGATCCAACACGTTGGGAAGAATCATCTGCTCTCAATTTAGCACTATGGCAAAACTCTTTTCACTAGCATCTTTACAAGTTAAGTGGTAGTTTTCCAAATCACTTATCTGCCAGTTGCAGACTGAGGGTACTGCCTAGGCTAAGAGTATTGTCTATTTCCACAAGTTAGATTCTGGTGACCTCTTCCCTGAAAATATCCTTAGCCTTAAATCTTTGGCCTGAATAAAATAAACCTGAAAACAAAACTGGAAGGGGTCTCATTTATTCATTCATTCAACAAGTATTTGTTAAGAGGCTACTATTTCCAAGTACTGCGTTTGTTCTAGTGACAGGGAATATTCTCAAAGAGCTTATGTTCCATTGGGGAATGCTACATCAATAGTAATAACATATCTATAGGGTGATTGTTGTTTTTTTTTTTTTAACTTTGCAAAGTACTTTACAAACAAGAGTTCACTCGAGCCTTGCAGCAATCCCGTGAAGTGAGGGCTGGAGATATCCTTTTTTCACAGATCAGAAAACTAGCTCAGAGAGGATGACTGTAGAGCTCTATCAATCAGCTGGTTTCTATTTAAGGCCTGCTAAGAGCTCGAGGGATCTCAGATCATCTCATCCGGTTCCCACATTTCGCAGATGAAGAAACTGAATCCCAAGAGAAATTAAGTAACCTGCCCAAGTTAAGTGGTAGAACTGGATTAGACAGACCTCAGGTTCTATGATTCCAAACTCAGGGGCAAAACTCAGCACTCCCATCCACGGGCATAAAATTGGCAGTGCCAAAGACAAGACTGGGGACCCACATCTTCTTGATACCTGGTCAAGCACTCTATCCAAGGAGGCAGCTAGGTGGCGCCGTGGATAGAGCACCGGCCCTGGAGTCAGGAAGACCCGAGTTCAAACGCAGCCTCAGACATATAATACTCACTAGCTGTGAGACTCTGGACAAGTAACTTAACCCCAATGCCTCACAAAAAAACCAAACAAACAAAAAACCATTCTATCCAAGTCTCTACGGGACTTTCTGTTAAACTGTGTCCGATTCTTCATGACCCCAGTTGGGCAAATTTTGGCAAAGTTATGAAATGGAGTGATACTCCAGCTCATTTTCCAGATGAGGAAACTGAGGCAAACAGGGTTAAGTGATTTGCCCAGGGTCACCCAGCTAGTAAGTGTCTGAGGCTGGATTTGAACTCGGGTCTTTCTGACTCCAGGCCTGCAGTTACGAAGTAATACCGAGTAGTTTCCAAGATAGAGACCACTAACAGGGTGGGAGAGGTCAAAGGAAAGCCCTTCCCATAGTAAGGGGACCCAGAGCTGGGCTTCGAAGACCAAAGGGGTTATCAGAAGCAGAGGTGAGAAGAGAGTGTATTTGAGACTAGGGACTAGGAGGAGCGAAGGTATGGGAGCAGGAGATAGAATGCTGTGTACCAGGACCAAGCCAGCATCCTTCTTTCCTGCCAGAAGTCATGCATTCCCCATGGGAGGCAGAGAAGGAAGGCACGTACAGCAACAGGTTCGGCACTTGAACTTTGAAAGGGGATGGTGGGGGGCGGGGGAGGATTAGAGGGAAGCAAAGCAGGGAGAGGAAGCTGCCAGGAGGATGGTGGGTGGGAGGGGAAATGATGGTGAACACGAAGCGGACGTCATCCGGGTTCCCAAACGAGAGATTTCCGACATGGGGTCACTCGGGGACTTCAGGAGACTTCTGTTGGGGAGATTCCTGGCACCAACCCAGGGCCAGTGGAAGGAGTATTTCGAGGGCCAGATTCTTTAAGGGCAAGCCCTCGGTTGGGACCACAGCCAGGGATCAAATGAGTCTCTGACTAAGGCGCCCGGGGATTGCCTTCTTTAACCACGGGCCAAGAACCTCGAGGTTCGCGCTGGTCTCGAGCTATGGCCCCACTCTCTCTCACAGTGCGTGTGTGTACGCCTGTGTGCTCTGCCTGCAGATGTGTGGCATCCCTAGAGTGGCTGACACTTGGAGACCCAGGCAGGGAACCCTGGCCACCGAGGGCGAAGTCCAGTGATGCTGAGGGTCTCTTCCCCAGGTTGCCACCTTCCCCGGGCCCTATCCCCTCCCCCTTTCTCTCTCTCTCTCCCGCCCAGGGTTCAGACTCAAGGCCCCATCCCAGCGCGGCCCCGGAATCTCTCTGTCTAGCTCCCCACCCCTATCCCAGCTGCAGCGAAAACCGGGAGGAGCGGACTGCGTGCCTGAAACGCCCAGGCCCCGGTCTGGGCATGCTCTGTAGCCGGGACGGCTTTTTGGTCCCCATTAAGAAGCTTGCTCTCCGTGGCGGTGCCGGTACCTCGGCTGCTCCAACCGCCGCTGCTCCGCTGGGCATGAACCGGCTCAGGGCTGGGGCACTCCAGGCTGGCGGGGCTGGAGGGAGGAGGAGGGAGAGCCGGGAGCTTAGGCTGGCCACGAGGCGGAGCCGAGCCCGGTGAAAGGCGAATCAGCCCCGGCCCCAGCCCTGGTCCCAGCCCGAGCGGGCAGGCGCGGAAGGAAACCCACGCAGGCAATGCCTCCTAGCCCTGGCTAGCTAGGGAGCTGCGGGTGCAGACACAGGGGCTGCCGACCGGGCTGGGGCAGGAAAGAGGAAGACAGGACCAATAGCCCCACCCCGCTTGCCGCTTTCTCTCGCAGAAAGTCGCGGTCATAGTTGTATGCACAGACGGACCCGCCCCCCCTCGCTCCCGGTTTGGCGTGGGGGACCAGGGGGAGGTGAGAAAAGAAGGGGCAAAGATAGCAAGCTGCAGTGTGCAAAACTAGTGGCTCGTGCCCCCTCTCCCTCCAAGACGATATAAAAGTGTTGTATCCAGAAAGGTTGCGTCTGTGTGTGCGTGTCTGTGTATGTGTGTGTGTTTCTTAGAGGAGGGGGGTCGCAGAGAAGCTGCAATAGGGAAACTGTAAGGAGCAGTTCCCCTCTTCCACCCCCTCCCCCTTCATTAAAAGTCTCTGAGCGTCCATCTCTGTGCATCAACCTCCTCAGTCTCTTTCTGGTCCTCAGGAAGGACTAGCGGGGGGCGGGGTGAGGGTGGGGGGAGTACTGGGTGGGGTGAGAAAGGAAACCCCGACGCCTCTGCTATCCGCCCAAGTGTCCCCTTTCCGAGTGGAGTCCTGGGAGGCCGGAGAGTGGACTCAGGTTTGCTCTGGTCTCCTCCTGGCCCCGAGGTCGGGGGTGGGGGTGAGAGGACAAGGGGAGGAGGAGACTTGGTTTCCCCGGACAGCAACAGCACCCGCCTTGCTGCCCCCCCGCCGGCAGGAGGGAGTCTCGTTCCCCGTGGATGCCCGGCTTGGCGGCTTATTCTGACCAGTCTTTCTTTCTCTTTCTCACTGTGTGTGTGTCTCTCTCTCTGCTCCCGCCCAGGATTACCGAGAGGATGGGATGGATTTAGCCAGTGACGCTTGCAGCAGCAGCCGCTCCAGCTCCCGGTCCAACTCCAGCAAAGTGACCCCGTGCTCCGAGTGCAAATCCTCCTCCTCGCCCTCCTCTTCCTCCTCCCCCGGTAGCCTGGACTTGGTGGCTGCCCTGGAGGAGTATGAAGAGGAGGAGAGTTTCCAGGTCTATCAGAAGAAGGTGATTGATGAGTGGGAAGAAGAAGAGGACGAGGAGGAAGAGGAGGAGGAAGAAGAGGAGGACAAGGACGACCGAGGCTACAGGGACTACGGGCACACAGCCGGGCACGACCGCTATGACAAGCCGGCCAACGGGAGGAGTTACGCGAAGGAGCTGGGAGATGTGAAGCCCCCCGCCTCCATCAGGAGCACCGTCAGCAACCCTCCCACCGGCGGCTGCGGCGGCCGCACCGGCACCGGCGCCCGGAGCACCGTCATGCCGCCCCCAGTCCCCAATGGCAACCTCCATCCCCCTCCGGACCTCAGGCACAACGGCAACGTGGTGGTGGCCGATCGGCCGCTGACAGGACACCGAGGAGGCCACCCCAACCCCCTGCAGAAAGGCCGGCCTGCGGGGGGGCGGCTGGGCGGCCCGGGCCCAGGGCCCGCGGGGCTCCTCCCGCTTCACCCCTTGGACAGTGGGACTTGTCTTAAGGAGGAGCCCCAGCTCCCCACTATGGACTGGGAGGCTTTGGAAAGGCATCTCGCCGGCTTACAGTTTCAGGAGCAGGAGGGACGCAACCAGAGTCAAGGGAAACCAAACTCCACCTCGGTAAGTTGCTTGGTTGTCCTTAATATGCTATGTGCAGAGAGAGCGCGGGGATCTTGGCCCATTCATTCTCTTGCCCTCCCCCATTCCCTCCCATCCTTTGCTCACACTCTCTGTAGACTAAGCTGTCTGGCTTTTCAGGATGGGGGGCGGGGTGGGGAGAAACAGAGAGGGAGGGAGGGCCACGCAAAGTCTTGGATTCAGGGAACCAGCGACTCATCCCCCTGGTATGGACTTTTGCAGACGAGAGCGGTGTTACCGTACCGGGTGGGGTGAGTCACCGGGGCGAGGCTTGGCACCCAGACCCGGCGGCTCAAGGGAAGACTTCAGGCGGCGGGAGTTGCCGCCGCCGGAGTCCCTGAGATGCAGCTGTTGGGTGGTGGTGGTGGGTTTTTGCTCCCCCTCCCGCCAGTGCCCCGAAGCTAGCAGGAAGGCACCTCGCCCTTCTCCTGTGTGTTGGGTAGTTGGACTGTTCTCTTGCATCCGCAGGGACTTGGGGCTTTCCTGAAATCGACTCTATTGTTTGACTGGGAGACCGGGCGAAATTGACTTGGCTTCTGGGAGAGGGAAGCGTTTGCCTTTCTGGGAGCCCGCCCCCTTTCAGGGTGCCTACCTCCCCGTTTTGAAAACGGGGCCACCTGCAGTCCTTCTCAGAGGCAACTGTCTTGAATTCAGGAAACCCAGACACGGGGGAGGAGTATGTCGAGGGAGGAGGGGAGAGAAGGAGAGGTCTGCTATGTGAGCATCTGTAATAGGAATCCTGGACAGGTTAGCACATGTCCCAAATCCTTTATGCCCGTGACAGAAGGACAGATAGCTTCTTTTTTTTTTTAAGGAGACTGAGGCTCCCCATTTATCACTGTTTAGAGATATAGCACCAGTTGCAGTTTAAAATCATTAATGATGCCCTCCAATGCAACTGAGGGGCAGAGTTTAAATGAGCTTCTCTGTGTGACGCCTGTAAGGAAGCAGCACAAAATGCTTGCCTTGCAGGTATAATTTTCAGACTCCAGGGCCCTGGGGCTAGTGGAAATTGGGTGCATGCACTTCTGACACCAGGGGGTGAGGAACGTAACTGCATTTCCTAGAAAAAATGGAACCATGGGGGGGTACATTTCAACAAGGCTGCTGCTTGCACAAGCTACTGTCTGGACTCCCCAGAGAAAGTACATATTAAATTAACATAACATCAAAATGTTTTAATTATGGCTGTTAAGTTTACCACTGCCATTCTCCTCTTTGTGACTTGAAGACATGAAATCTTTCAATCAAAGCCAAATACTCCCACTTGTACTGGGGAAATGGCACAGCGCACTCTCTCTCTCTCACTCTCTCTCTCTCTCTCTCACTCTCTCTCTCTTTCTCTCACTCTCTCTCTCTTACTCTCTCTCTCTCTCTCTCTCTCTCTCTCTCTCTTTCGCTCTCTCTCTCGTCCTTCACAGATAAAGTATTTCCTCCCAGCCTTTCCTGACAAGAAGGGATAGCTTTTTTTTACTGTTGTATCCCTGGTGATGACATTTGTGCAATCGGGGGCACTTGAAATTTTGATATTTAGAAATCCAGGCATCCATCAGCACAAGGCCTATGCTTTGATGCTTGTTGACAGTGGGTTTATTGCATGTGCAGTAAGGCTGTTCACAAGCTGAACTTATGACTAAGGCCGAAGTCCCGTAGAGAAGTTGTTCAATATGGTTGTTGTTGTTGAATGGTGTATAGGAAGCAGCTGGGGAAAATGAGAGGAGGTGATTATTGCTTTAGAGCTGGAAGGGATTTAGGAGGTCGTGTAGTCCCAGGATCACAGATGAGGAGACCGCCCAATAACTGGCCCAGAGTTATCCAGGGAGGCAGCATCAGAGGCAAAATTGGAACCCAGATCTTCTGACTCAGGAAGCAAGGCTCTTGCCACGGTATCATACTGCCTCTTCCATTCCTTCCTCTACATTTCATCTTTCAGGCTTTATCTCTGGAATCTCAGTGGATCAGGGGAGCAATCCTCAGACTGTAGGGCCATTTTTGAAATGGGATCAATTTTGCCAAAATGTTTTCATCGGAGAGGCAGCATGGGATATCGAAGAGAGTATTGGTCTGGGAGATGAGGCCTCAAACCCAGCCATTACTGCTTAACTAGCAGTAGTATTATTATGGGCCCACTACTCAACTTTTCTAAGCCTTAGGCAATTTCTCTTTTTCTCTCTCCTCCACCTCTGTCTCTATTTCCTTCCTCCCCGTTCTCTGTCTCTGTCTCTCCATTTGTCTCTGTCTCTTTTTCTTGCGTGCGCAAACACACACACACACACACACACACACACACACACACACACACACACACACACACACACACACCCGTGCTTACATATCTAGGGACTGGACCTGTGATTTCAAAGGTCAAGAGAACTCCCAGGGGGAGGAAGTTCCATCCACCAGTATGATTTGGCATTTTCCTGCAACTTCTAATCTTAAAGAGTTTCCTAGAAGACTGAGCAGTTAAGTGACTTGCCCAGGGTCACACAGCCTGAATGTTTGAGAGGCTGCATGCGAACCCAGTCTTACTGGCTCTTAAGCCACCTCTGAAAGTACTGGGCCGTGTTGCCTTTCTCCATAATTGACCAGGTAGTAACTAATTAAAGCTTGGGGTATTGGATAAATCATTTGCTACATTTTAGCATGCCAATGTATAGAGCTCATCTTTTTTAACCACCCAAAATACAATTGGTGGGATGCTTTATGATTGTAGCAAGGTGTTCAACTCAGCATGAACACCTTCTCAGACATTTGTTCTCACTCTTGGTAGGATACCCGATACAAATTTCTGAAAGTTCAATGTATGTTCTACTGAACCCCAGTTACAAAATGCAATACTGCTTGAATCCTGGAATTCACCCATGACCTCCCAGAATAGGGATCACTTAGAATATCATCCTGGTGCCTTATTATATGCCCTCCTAAGAACTGTCTTCATGGACTTATCTACCATTTCCTCCCCTTCCTGCCCCCAACACCACCACATTCTATGGCTTTCTGCTCCTGGATCCAGACATCCTCTTCTTCTTCCACTTACAGTATTCAGAAAACTGGGGTGGTAGTCTGAGATACTGGGGAGAAGGAATGGCAAAGAGAAAATCTGAACCCAAGATGCCTGAGATTGACAGCCTAATCATATAATACTATGCATATTTGCATAGGTAGTGCTTTAGAGCACTGGGCTTGGAGTCAGGAGGACCTGAGTTCAAACATGGCCTCAGACATTTACTAACTGTGTGAACTTGGGCAAGTCACTTAACCTCTGTCTTCCTCAATTTCTCCAACTGTAAAATGGGGATAATAATACCTCACAGGGTTGATGTGAGGATCAAATGAGACAATATTTATAAAGCCCTTAGTATAGGACCTTGCATATAGTACGCTCTTAATTGTTCCCTTCCCACTTCCTACAATGCTTTTGTCTGTACGTTATTTACATGTAACACAAGGATATGGTCCTTGGAGAAATGCATAGTGTGATGCAAAGAGCATTAGTTTGGGAATCAGAGGACACAGGTTCAAATCTTGGCTCATACTACCTGTGTGACCTTGGGGAAGTGACCTGACCTCTCTAGGACCCAGTTTCTTCTGTAAAATGAGACTGAACTAAGCATTCTCTTTCAGCCAGTTGGTGCCACTGTCCTTTTCCATGACTCTAATACAGAAGTCTCCTTTGAGAGAGTATGCTGTCAAAAAAAAAAAAAAGTAGGGCAGAGTTGGGGTTGAGCTTGGGGTGTGTGTGTGTTTTTATTTCTATTTAAATAAAGGAATCTGGCTATGCTGCCTTGTATCTGTTTATTACCTTCTACTGTTAGTCCAGAGTTAACTGTGAGGAGAAAAACTTGTGAGGGACAAAGGGGTTTTGTAGAAAAGACAACCAATCATGGTAGAGATGATTGCGTCAAAAAGGTCTCTGTAGGACAAGTGACTTCATGATATTGATATATAGCTAGATAGATAGATAGATATAGATATATTGCTTTAAAAGGGAAGGTATTAATCTAATCCAGGGTTCTAAACCTTTCTGTGTTGTGAGTCCTTTTGACAGTAAGTGGAGCCCACAAGATGCCTTCTTAGAAGCATGTTTTCATATAATTGTAGGAAATGCTAAGTTTCACTTAAAGAAAAAAGTGGAAAAAAATTTGATTTTGTCCCCATCCGAAGTCCTTTGGGATCCATGGACCCCCAGTTAAGAGCCCCTGATTTAAGGAAAAGATGAGTAGGATGGATTGTCTTATTGAAGAGAATTTATTTATTTAAAATTCCACTTACCTGTTGGTACCTCTCCTAGATATCAGTACAAACATAAGAAATGAAATCCTCAAAACTCTTCTCATGTTCTTCAGGCATAGAGATTTTATGAAAATCGCAATTGGTTTTCTTAGCATTTATGTTAGCCACTAACTTTCATTAGTTTTATGTAATCTTACAGTGCTATATAAATGGGTGTTGTTGTTAATATAATAATCATGTAATCACAGATCCATCAGAGCGTTGGAGCATCTTAAGAATGATCATAAGTCTAAGCCAAGGGCACTGCTTTAGCATTGGCTTTCTGAGTCATCTGAATATCAAAGAGTTTTTACAGTTGGCATAGACATTAGAAGCTCTCTATCTAGCCCATCCCTTAGCTGAACAGAGAGGATTCACAGTTGGGTTCCATGACTCCCAAGGTCAGGACCCTTTCCACCATACTTTTCATTCTGCCTGAAATTTCTACTGAAATCCAGAAAGAGGCAGTTAGGTGCAGTGGACAGCTCCGTGAGCTTAGAGCTTTGAATCTGGGCTGGGAGAGCTTCCTAGGAGTGTGAGCTTCAGAGCTGTTCAGAACTACCACTTTCCCATTTGTAAGATGGCATCTGAAGTAGCAGCTTTCTGGGGCTATAGTGATCATCAAAGGAGATAAGGGATAAAGCGTTCACAAACAAGAGATCACTCTGTTAGGAATGTCAGCTAGCATTCTTAGAATGATTGTGATTTGG